TCCAGATGACAACAAATAGCTGCACACAACTTGCTGGAAAGGGAAAACTGCAATTTTGATTTTTTTTTTTTTTTTATTTCTAACTTCACCCAAGAAGGCATTTTCACATGCAAATTCATTACCACTAAGAATTCAGATATCTGAAGCATTACTTCAACCAAACTGGTATGTTCTGGCAACATGAAAAGCATGTTTTCTTCTCCCTTTAACTTAATAATTAATCTTCCTCAAAAAACTTAAACCTTTATAATAGTCCTTATTATACTTAAATTGATTTTAAAAAGAGAACACTTCACTGTATAAGCTCTTGAATAAAATGAATGTAGAAATTGCTAGTACACTGCACATTAGATAAAAAAGTAATAATGCATATTTATAATTTATTTACTACAAAATAATACTTGTTAGGTCATTCTGCACTTAGGAAACCAATAGGAAATATTTCTTTCCTTTAGACAAATTTATGTGAAAAATTACAACAGCTGTATGTGAAGTGTAAAACAGATAATTTGGACCTCTTTCGCACCATAAAATATTGAAGCTTGTTAATACATGCATGAAATGTTTGCCAAAGTAATTTTTCACTGATTTGTAAGGAAGCAGTTGTACAAGATCATACAATTTCTTCCTCAAGAGGAAAAGGGAAGAGGGTGAAAATATTCTGCTTATATAGCTCTGGCAATGTCTTGATAATTCCTACAATGACCCAGATACCCTCATCTTGCAATATCATTCACAGGAAAAACTTCTCAATCGGACTCTAACAATGTATATATTGTAAACAGAGAATATAAGTTTAAAATCCGTAAGTGATGCAATGCCTGCAAGCAGAGATCTGCTTAACTACTTAAGCAAATGGCCTCTTCGCTACATATTAAAAAAAACAAAAACCAAACCCTTCAAGTCTTGCATTCCAATACCTAAATTGCCAGCTAAGCAGATACTACCACTGTAAATTGTTACTATAATAGTTTTTTTGACAGCACAGTAAAAAACCCAAAACACAGAACTTAATTATTGGAGTTTTAAAAAACTGTGTAGTTAATAAGAATATTTCCAATGTCTAAACATGAGATTACATGAGAAACTAACTTGTCCAAATGTGTAATGTGGATTGCTTTTTCTTTTTCCCTCTGCTAATTAGCCCTTACAGATACGTAGCTCCAACCCCTATAGTGGTCACAGAACAGAACAAGCTCAGAGAAATAACCATCAAAACACACATATATGTTTTGTATGTGTGTGGATATATATACACACACAAACATCCATATATGCGTCATATAGATGAACACACATAAAAATGGTGTATAACCTACTTGTAAATTCTTTTCCATCTCACTTGATTCAGAAGACATAAGATTATTCACATTCCTATTTTGCTGAACGTCCTCCATCTTCCCTGCACAATAATTTGCTGTTGCACCACCTGGTGAGCATGGAGGCTAGACATTCACCAGCTCTTAAAAATCAGTTTTCTTATGAAGTGCCTAATAATGAAACTCTCTGTAGCCTCTTGGTTCTCGCTTGTCAAAGATTTTTTTAGAACATTAAACTTGGGCATTTAGGTCAACTTAGGCATCAAGAAATTATTTTTACTTTGGTTTTATAAGGTAAGGATGGCTCCTCTGCAAGAGCTCAGATAGGAGCAACTACTAGGGCATGAAAGAACTAAAAGACATTTTACAGTGTTTAATTAGAGCTGAGTCATGCTTTGGTCCTATACTTGACATGCACACGCTCTTGTAGTTCACACCTATTAAATGTTGAAAGATTTTCTGCGACCTGTGATCTCATAAATCCTTTCTCACTTTAAATTATGTAATTTTCATAGACATTGCAGAAACAAATTAATAGAGATACAAGTCAAATGTTCTCAGAAAGTAAATAAGAGCAATGGCTGTGAACATCTCTAGTAGATGACAATCTTAAGAATCAGAAAAGAAAGAATCAGAAAGCACTATTCTTTCAATGCAGATTGATTTTTGTGTGTGTCATCCTGCAGGAAGCCATGGACTACAGGCCAGAGCACATATTTCCATCTTTAAACTTCGAAGGGCTATGTTTGTTTAGAAGTCATGGAGTTGACAAATACAGAGAGACATGTTTAAAGAAGGATAGACTTTACACATGTAAACAGACTTTACAAAAGCTAAGCTTTTGTAACTAATTTGAATTAGAAAGAGTAGCATCATTATAAATAAAAAAGCATCCATTTTTGTTTCACAGATCAGCAGACTCATATAATGCTTTTAAGCAATCCTAAAGAACATACTTAGAACTGCATCAAGCCTCAGGATAAAAATATTCAGCTCACGTTAGATGACTGTTTGCATGCCTGTAAGTTCATAACAAGAGTGGTTGGGTTCTTGCATGAACAATGGCTGCTACGGACCACTACTTTCTCTTCCTATAAAAATAATACTCCAACCTATTAAACACTGTAATTTGGAGGAACATGTTGCAGCTTTTCTAAAGAGGGAGATGAAACAACCTGAATTCCTTGGAAGCACTAAGTAATCTCAGAGGGGAAAAATACAGCCCAAAGATGAAAGGAGTTCACAAATTATCTTCATCATCTTAAAAACCCCATAGAAGTAATGTTAATTTAGGTTTTGCAACTGTGTGTTAAAAAACAGAAGAGCACCAAAAAACCATGGTGTAGTAAAATGAACCAAATGAAGCAAAATGAAAAAGTCCAGAAGAAAAAAATTACTTTTCCTGCACTTTTTTTTTTTTTTTTAAACCATGTGCTGTTACAATACTCCAACCCTTCTTCATTCTAGATTCAGTCCATTAAAAAGACTCATTCCTGAAAATAATCAGGGAAAGCTGTAATAGTAAACATTCAAAGTTTATTTAAAACCCATTTTTTTTTTAAATTTTTTGAAAAAGTTGGAGAGGAAGGAAGCCAAAGGTGGCACCTTATAGCATTTGACAGTCTCTAACCCAAGAAGGCAACCATGGACTCTACAGCTGGCTCTTAGCTTGGGTCCCTCCACATCTAGCCCACATAAGCCGAAGGGCTGCTCCTGTGTCCAGCGCAGTCACGCTGGCTTTGGTAGCACAAAGGCAACTGTAGCATACAGGCCTCAGTAGCACAAAATAAGGGCCATCAGCAGTATAATCCAAACCTGAATTTTCAAATAAAATATTAAATATGACCACAAGAAAGTCCTTAGTTTTGGTTAATATTCATGTTCCTGAACATACCATGGATTAGGTAGATTTGCTAGCCATTTGCCAATTGCTCGCTTTTAAACGTAGGAAACTAAATGCCTTTAGGGCAGCTCAAAAACCATAAAATCAATTAATGTCATGATGACTCCAGTTCCTTTTGAGGAAAGGAATGCCTTGTTAAAAAAAGATAACATGGAAATACATATTCTTTCCCATAGGAGAGCCATTCATCATCATGCAATGGTAGTTCACAACACAGAAATTAAATGCCCAAATGGGAGATTTTATTTAGTTAAGTTTTCTGAATATGGAAGACACATAAGCCCTCTGCATAATACAAGTGCTGAGGGAAAGACTACAAGAGAGACCATTTTACAAAACCTCCTGTAATGCATTGAAACGGCCAAATACTACATCTGAAATTGTATGTCAAACTAGGCTTTGGATGAAAAAAAAAAGTTATTGCAGCTGGTGCCCAGTCATGTGATTTTCATGAATTCCGTGATGATAAAGCAAGTACTGTGCTACACAAACACTGCTAAAATGCTGGCGTAGGGGTATTATTCAAATGCTTTTGTGACTAGGGTTCAGCACTGGTGGATGGAAATAATTTTACTTGTCCAGAGATGCTGTCTGCCTACAGAAGCACATCTGCTACCGGGTGGTTGTGCCCCTGCCTACCCTCTCCCTCCTCTCCAGCCCCATCTCCCCTCCACACACATGCGAACATGCGCACACACATTCACACCCTCATGGGCTATTCATTTTAAAATCATTATGGTTAAGTACAAAGGGCTACAAAGAATTAGAAAAAGAGCAGATGGTCTCTTCAGCTGGGCTGTAAGCCATGTAAAATACAACCATACAAAACCACAAATAAATACTGATTTTTTTTTACAAGCTTTTATGGTCACTCCTAGAGTATGTGTTTGCTACAGTTCATAATTTTCTCTACCCTTGAGAGATTAATACCACTTACAGAACCAAGGAAAGGCTGTAGAAATTATTTTTCCTATACATGTGTTTCTTCTGTTACAAAACCTGGAGCTATCAAACCTGTGCACACACTGCTATCGCTAATCTCAGCTCAGCTACCACACACCACTTAATCAGTCACAGTATCAGCGATCGGTGAAATCACTGCTTACATTTCAACAGCTCTGGCAAACTGCAGGCCAGAGGGAGGGAACCCCCCTGCATGCTAGACATTTAAGGACTTGAACTGCATTGTCCATATAGTAATACATTTGAAAAGGGTCTGAAAATATTGTACAGTTTAATTAAAACATGAATTAACAGAGAAAAGCAGAGCTGATCAAACGTGAAAACAACTTCTGATGGCTTTTGTTCATGTACTGCATTTGGTAAAGAGACAAGTAGAGAAAAGTCCAATTTATAGCACTACTGTGTTCCAGTAGCATGCTGTCTTTGCCAAGGATAATAATGGAAAACTCTTTTGGGAAACCTCAAGTATTCCCTCTGCTTCCCCCCCACCAAAAACCTGTAACTGATAAATATAAAAAAAAAAATCTGAATAATTTCTTGCACACTAATAGCAATCACCTGGCTCTGTACAAATTGTAATACACTCAACACTTTACAATTATTTCAAGTTCACCCTAGAGTCCCCATAAATTTCAGTCCCAACATTAATTCTGTCATGCACGTTGAAGTATGTTGGGGAAAGGAGGGAAACAAGGGAAAAAGGCATTGCAAAACTCTGAAATCCTCATAGCAAAACTTCCAGTCCGGGTCAGGAAAAGATCAGATCAGAGTTGTCATAAGAAATCTCTTAAAACCAGAAATTAAGAAATACTTACCTTACAGTGCAGTTCCTTTCATCCAGATTGTTAACTTTAGAGAAAATACGCTCCCCATCTTCCTTTAAATCCTCTGCTTGCCTCCTTACTTCAACTGAGACTTCCTAAAAGTGTTTTACAGCACAAATAAGACACAAAGTCATCATGTTTCAGGCTCCCAAAAAATCTATGATTATGGAACCTCTTATTTGTGGGTTTGCTCTGTTTGAATATACATGAACTCAACAGCATAGTGTGTCTTAAGCTTGCTTGGTTTTAAGTGGTACAGTATGCTATGTGACCTCTTGCACAGCACTACTGACCTGGCAGTGCTCAAGTAACTGCTCTACTTTGCTGATCTGTAGAAGAGCTTAACATTTAGATAAACCTTTGCAATTTCCATTTGGCAAAGACAAAAAAAAAAAAAACAAAACCAAAACGTGGCAAAGAAGTTACAGAAGAGTTGCTCATGTTTAGAAGAGGCAAGTACGCACCAGTTCTTCAATCTCTGAGTGCGTACTTGAGTTTCTCAGTAAAACACACAAGATCGCTGTTCCAGAATTTTATTATTTCACTATATCTTCAAACAACCACACCCAAAGCATAGCTTTGCATTACAAACACTGAACCTACAGGAAATTTAATTGCGCAGTAGCACTGGAATCGCCTGAATCATACATACGAAACAACATCTTTATTTACTTCAGTCTGTTGTAAGGATCTTCCATGCAATTATCACCATATTTTCCAGGTGCCTAAACAGGTGTCTGCTTTTTGCCCCAGGAGGCCTATAGTGAACTTAAAGGCACTGACTAATAAACCAGAAATGCATACATGGAATAGATTATATGTTGATTTTTCTGCTGGGTAGGCAATTATTTAATAATTTAGTTAATTTAGTTTTCAAAATAACTTCCAGGTGAATATTTGCAGTGCTTGGAATCTTTACCCTAGTAAATTATCCGCATAGTTAAGTCTGCACCTAGAGTTCAAAAATAACTTATGCAAAACCTAAAGACACAAAAATCTTAAAGAAAAGGAGTTCCAAACTCTTAGAGATCAGCATATTGTGTTTCTTTTTGAGCTATTCTCATTCTACTCCCTGTATACACGTGCACACAGAGAGGTGCTATTTGGATGTGTATGTATGTATGCATGCAATGTTTTTACCAAGAGGAAAAAAACAGAAAAAAATAATCTACAACTGCATTGCCTCTGTTCTTTCCTTGCATAAGGTGAAGTTCAACACAGGTTGAACACACTATGACTCCGTACACATATCAGGCAATCTCGTAGCAGCTTGAACAACATCTCTTAAACAGAGAACTTAACAGCCTTGGTTTCTCTGTTTACTTCCCCCACCACCTGCCAACCATTCCCTGGCCCTGCTCAGTTAAAAATTAACTTAATATTTACTTGCAAGTTGAACAGAGTCTCTCTAAGGAATACGTTTATACATCTTAAATCAAGCAAACTGACATAAAACAAAACACTAAGCAGTTTCATTTGTTGCTACAGTGTAGCTTCAACATTAACAGGCATATTTTTAATCTCTATTAGGCAGAAGTTTTGTCCTATGTAGCTTTTGTATCAAGCAAATTTAGAAGAGGAAATCCATGGAAAATGATCAGGCCATTTTCCTTACTGAGAGCTACCTGTGACAATTATTCCCTTACTGACAAAAGGCAAACATCATACTACATTGTGTTCCTAATCTAGAAATTTTCACAAAAATACGCTCTTTCCCCCTCCACCTCTCTCCTGCCCTGCCACCTTGGGCAATTTAAAAGATAATACAAAAGACACCTGTACCTGTTTATAGAAATCAGTAGAAGGGGATGATCTAGACCTCTCATGAGTGTACTGGGGTTTCTCATGTTGTTCATGGCCTGCATCAAGGATATTATCGGCTGAATGGTACCTTCCTGAGCTCCTTGGCTCTATCAGCTTCCTCTGCTCCTTCCATGACGCCTGATACTCTGCAAAGGTTCCCAGGCGCTGCGGCTGTTCAGATTTCACAACCTTATCAGCAGCCTTTTTGCTGCTACTACAGTGGACGTTATCTTCTGAAGCATGTGCAGTTTCAAGTCCAACAGAGGCTGCCCGACCTCTTCTCTCATACCATGACTCCTCTCCCTCTTGTCCACCATGAGTTTTCCTATCTGGCCTCTCAGGCTGTCCCTCAGCTACACCACGGGGAGCTGGCTTCTGTGCCAATTTCCTATACGCAGGCTTACTTGTTTCTTCAAAAAATTTCCACCTGTCTGCAAATGAGCCCAGGGCTTCTTCAGATGTGTTTGGACAGCAATGAGCACGGCATTCATCCTCTGACATTCCCACCTCGTTTATCTTTTCTGGTTCAGAGTAAGACTTCAGTTTTTGCTCTGTTGTGAACCTCTTCCTGGCTCCGATACGAGAAACATGATGAGTGCCACTCCCTGTAGGGTTCGGTTTAGCTTGTGTAGCCTCAAGGAATCCAGACGCATCTTCAGAAACCAAAGCCAGTAACGAAGAGTTGTAACTACCAGTTTTCTGCTCCGCTGACCTGGGGAGATATTCAGCAGGGCTGGGCTCCAAGTCCCGCCGTTTGAAGGACGTCGCCCTCAGAACCCTGGCCTGTGCTTCCTTGAGGTGATCTTTGTAGGTGCTGGTAAAGTTAGTGTCTGGGGAGGTGGTGACATTTTCTGTTAAATCTGGCTTCCAGGTCTCATTGCAGTCCTCTGTTTCAGAGGACCCTACTAACGTAGCAGTGCTTCTACTTTTCTGCAACTTCGCTCTTCTCATTTGGATCTCATTTCTCAGGGTTGTTGCAAAACGATCGCTCCTTCGTGCCTGTTTAGACAGGTGAGTGTCGAACGGGGCCTGCCGCTCTGTAACCCCTTCTGGGCTGTTGTCAGCCTGTTTTTTCCCTTCCTGAGCTAAAGAGTGCAACATTGGGGTCTTCTGAGGAGAAATCTTGCTACTCTCATCTTTCCCCCACCTCAAATCTTTCTGAGCAGATCTGTTTTCAGTGGTAAGTACACTGCCCTTTACATACTCCTGTTGACAGTACCTAGTTTCACTTTCCTCAGAGCTGCTCTCAAAGTTTATCTTTTGTCCAGACTTTTCAGTATGGTTGGGATTTTTAGCTTCTTCTACGGCACACCTAGCATCCCCCTCTCTGTCCACTAGGTAATGACTACTGTTCTCACACACTTTCAGTGAAGTTTCAACAGATTGTTGAGGTAGATAGTATCTTGATTTTTGGACCATTGTGACAACTGCAGGATTTTCGTGAGGTCCAAGTGATGCATCAGCCCCCACTGCACGTTTCCAGCTGTCGTCTGTGAGTTGTAGTGGCTTTGAGCTTCCCTGAGCAGGCTGTTTTGCTGTCACACAATAATAGCGACTCTGTCCAGTGTTGTCCACCCTCTGTTCAGCAGCTCTGTTCAAAGAAGAGGAAGTGTTGAGCAGACTGGCTTGGTTTGGACTGTAGCCATGAAAATGATCTGTAGGTAACTCCTGAATGCCACTATAGGACAGATAATGTTGCTGATCTTTAGGTGCAGCTAACATTCTTGCATTATGAAAAAAAGTGCTTTCATCACTGTACTGGTGCTGGTGGTGGTAAGTAGGCTGTGCAAACCGAACATCAGTGCTGGACAAGGATGACTGCAGTTTGTTCACAGTTCCTGCATTACTACTGTACCTTTCACCAGCCGAAGAAGAAGTGTGTTCTGAACTGAGATCAGATTTATAACTTGAGCTGCTGACCCTCCTGTCACACATTCTGGAGGGCCGCCGCTGCTGCTCCACAGTTTCCAAGTTCCAGTCACTCCTGGGCTGAGACTGGTTCAGGGCTGTAAAGTGCTGCGTGCTGGCACCCTCTGAGTACACAGGGCCATGGGCTTTCTCATGGCCTTTGGTAGCAGCAAAGCTGTCACTACGAAGAGGTGGAGGTGGTGGGGGAGGGGATGAAGACTTCTTCTTATCAGGAACATACCAGACAGGTCCAAAACTGGACCTTCCAGAGCTAGTGAGCTTGCCATCAGGTTGTTCCTCTATTCTAGGACTTTTGTTGTTCTCGTATTGGATGGGAGCTGGCAAATATCCAGATTTGTCCTCTATTCCACTGTTGTCATTCAAGAACTGGCCAGACTTGTTTCCATGCTTAGCAGTCTCCCAGTGGCCTACTTTGTATAGCATGTTTTCCGTTGAAGAAGTGTCAGCATTGGATAGAGTGTGGTCAGGGGTGCTAGAACTCGTAGAGAAAGACCCGTAGGCTGAATCCCGCTTACTTTGGCTTCCTAGATGATCAATGCTACTATTAGACCTTGCAGAAGAAAGTCTTCCATACTGAGCTACTTGTGGAGTGTGGTCCCAGCTATCCATACTTCCCAAAGAGCTGAATTGGTCAGAAGTGCGATGTAGACTTGACTGATCCCACGAGTTTGACAGGTCATGAGAAGAACAACTATGGTAGGAAACAAACAAAAAGCCTCAGCATAAATATGCCAGTCAAAAATTGCCACAATATGATTATACATACATAGCCACCAATTTTACTAACATTGGTTAAGATCCATCATCATAGCAGTTACTCAAGACAAACAATCTAATAAAAATTGGAAGTTTGAACAAAAAATCAAGGCTTTATCTTTATACTCTGCCACTGATTCAAAGCTTAAAACCTTAATAATTAACTCAAATTCCCTTTGTAAGTTTACCAACAAGTAATACACATTTATCTCCTTGAAGGCTGCCCTCTCCCTCTACAAATTGTTGATTTTGCTGACTTTACTTCTAGACATATTTAGTTTGAGCTCCATTAGCTCCTCCTTTCCCAGGACAAACATCAACTTATTTTTCATCTTTTTTTCCAGGCACCCCAATTCTTCCAGCTATCAAACTCACTTACTTCCCTGTTCATCTTTTGTAATCTCACCCTAAACTTCTTCAGCCCATAAAATTATTCCCTTGTCCTGCTTATCCAAATCTGCCTATTCATTTAATATTTTCATTTCTAAACAGAGGTTCACTAAAAACATTTGCCTCAAATGCCACCATTTTAGTTCTGAGCCTCCACATGCACCTTGCCAACATGGTTTCAAACCACTCTCGGGTCGACATCCTTACAACAATGTCATTCAATTCCACCTGGTTCCACAACACTGACAGGAAAACGTCAGGAGGAGATGCCAGAACAACATAAGCTCTCCATGTCCAAAACAAAATTTCTGACCTTCCTTCAAGAACCCTTATCACCATGAGTCCCTCTCTGCCACTTTTTCCTCTATAGAAATGTCACCTTTGACACTGTACTTTCTCTGGATCATTTGCCATTATATCACACCATTTCAAAATCTTGCTGCTTCTGTTGTTTTCCTACCCAATCAGTTTTGATCTGTTTTCTTTCTTTTGTCTTTCACAGCACCCACCTCCTGTCAATCAAACACATTGAGATCCTGATACAACAGTCTTTCCAATTTTTCTCATCACATCTCCCTGTCTGAACTTTACTGTCAGCCCCTCCTGCTTTTATAAACTAAATTCAAATTCTTGCCCTTGCATGCAAAGCCCCTTGGTAGAAATCCCAGAATTCTTCCATTTCCCTGTAGCTATAATTATATGAAGCATCTATCAAATCTCGTGCAATAAAGAAACCTGTGAAAGCTAGCAATGAAATTAGATTAATACACATAAAAAAATACAAAGGGAGATATAGATTTTTTTTTCTGTCAAAAATATTGCAAAGGTCAACTCAACAGTTCTTTGGAATTCAGTATTATAATGAAAATAGCTTTTTCCCCCCCTCTATTCCTATAACCTTTGTAACTTTTTTTTATACAACATGGTCAAAAGCAATTTAGGTGAAATAAGAGAAGGTATACTTTGTGCTTATTTTCTAAAAGTATTTTATTAACAAGATACACTAGTGTTGGCCTCATCTTGTGGGTTTTTTGTTTGCTCATTCTTTTACTTTCAGCACTTTAAGACCTTTTTATGCATTCAGCAAGATGTTTTAATTGTCTTCTTAGGCAAATATTGTGGTTCATATAAAAAGTATCTTGGTCATTATTAGGATCTCTTCTGTTGATGAAGAATGTAAGCTGGATATTGCTGGTATTTTTTCCCCTCTCCCCAAGGAGATGCTTGGCATCGATTAAAATAAAAATGATACTTGTACAGGAAAGCCTCAATTTACAATTTACAAGTTTCATGTAGATCTGCTGGTATCAAATGTGAAGCAGAGATTATCAGCATAAGAGATCAAAGCCCTTCTAGAAGATGCCCAATAGAAACTTGGCAGACGCAGCAAAAACTTCAAAGAAAGGACAGGCAAGTTTCTAACGGTGTGTTACTGAGAAGCACAGCCTCCTGTGGTCCTTAACCATGGGGCAATCCTCCCATGAACCTCAACATGGAAGAGAGTCCAAAAGCCATTTCTCTGCCTCAGCCTGGCACCCCAGGACATCCTTCTTGCAACAGCTTTTTTAGACTGGATTCACAAGAGCACCTACACTGCTGGTCAAAGTCTGGCAGGTAAAGTCCAGGAATAATCTACAAACACCATCCTTGGCCACTTTGGCCAACAAGCAACCCCCACAACCCTGGAGCATGAGTTTCTGCTTCTGGGCCCTCTCAGAAATTACATCATCTCAGCAAATTAGACCACATTCAGACCACAAGGGATTACAGACCAGAGGTACCTGACCCTAATTGCCCCAAAAACTCAGTTTAAGCAGCCTTCTCAAAGCATACTTGCTTCACACCCACACCCGTAAGGCCAGAACAAAGTAGAAAAATTAGGTGGTTTCAACTACACACCCAGGGGCACAAAAATAAATAATAATTATAAGGTCCTCTATTATGGTATATCCTACTGGAAGAAAATGCAGGGCCTAAACTTTCAAAAACTTCAGTTAGGTTCATATTCACACCTCCCAGAAAAGTGCACTCAGCCTTAGTCTAGGGTGGGTTAGCAAAACAGTCTGGATCTATGTTGCTAAGGTATGCATTCTGTGAAAAACAGAGCAGAAGAATCACTGAGTGAAATTAAAGCACCAAAAGCTTACAAGGTCTAACTCTCTAGCCTTGTATGAGAGGCACCTAGACCTGGCCTAGCGCTCCCAAGATAGCTTACAGTTTTTGAATGAAAGTCACATGATAAAAAATACACATATAGTGGCAGATCCGGAGAGCTGGGCTCCAGAACTGCCCTCTCTCATATCTAACACTACTAGGGTCTCTTCTGGTCTGTCTTCCTCTAGCTTCATGCACCTTCTCAAAGGTCCAAATTCAGTGGGCTGCACCCCACCACCTCAACACACAAAATCCAGGTATATATCCTGTCTGGAAGAGAGCAAAAGCATCTCTCACCATGACTGAACTCTCCATGTTTTACAAGTGATTTAGTTTTCATGGTCACAGAGAGAATGCAGGCAGGCACATTCAGAAGAGATTTTAGGCTGTGGACACCAATTTCAGATGCTTCGCTCAAGGAAGGACAAGAAACTCCAGAAATAGGATCCCATCCTTGGGCTAGAAATATCCCCTTCTCGGCTATTTCTATTATCTCCTCATACTGCTGCTTTCAGATACTGATTGCTGTGCCTCCTGTTCAGCTTGGTGCTTGACTTAGAGTGTACTGTGCTTCTTGGTTTTGCAAATTGTACTTTGAAAGTGGGGAATCTCTGAAGCTGCTCACCTTCTCTTTTTGCAGACAAGCAAGCCCAAAGAACCCCCCTCTGCAAATGGGATCAAAATACCAAAATCCTTGGGCTGGCACTCTGGGAATGCCAGGCTTCCAGCAGCTGAAGCCGCTGAAACCATGTTGGGCAACAGACACCAGGAGTGACAGATCTCCCAAATGCATCACCTTTCAAGTGGGCAGCACAGGCAGCCGCAGGGCTCAGGATGGCAGTGTCATAGGAAGCCTGGTATTATAGAATCATAGAATGGTTTGGGTTGGAAGGGACCTTAATGATCATCTAGTTCCAACCCCCCTGCCATGGGCAGGGACACCCTCCACTAGACCAGGTTGCTCAAAGCCTCATCCAGCCTGGCCTTGAACACCTCCAGGGATGGGGCATCCACAGCTTCTCTGGGCAACCCGTTCCAGTGCCTCACCACCCTCACAGGAAAAAACTTCCTCCTGATATCCAGTCTAAATCTTTAGACTGTGCTAAAGCCACTAAATCTTTCAGCAGCATCTAAGAAAGCAGAATTTGCTCTTTTTATTAATGTCTACCAGCAGTTGCTGCTATTTTTTGACACATGGGATAGAAGATTGCTTTATTCCCCTTTCCCTTTACACTCACAATTTCCTGCCTAAAGCTCATTTCAAACTGGCCTTGAACCAAATTAATTTTTTTTTTTTAAATATTGTGATTCACTCAGCTCCTATCAAATTAACACTTTGAGACATGTGTCTTGTAATATTTTGCTTTCACAAGGTACAATGACAACCACCGGGAAGAGTCAGAAGCATATACTGACTTACAGCTCCATCAGAAGACTCAGCAGACTAAAAGTAGAAATACTCGAGTTAGCATTGCAGCCAGGAACTCTATAAGGTTTTTAGAAATTCCTGAACTTTGTTTCTATTGTACAAGGACTTTTACTGTCTTCAAATCTATAAATCTAATTCAGCCCATCTACATTAAATTTAAATACAAACTTTCTAAATCACTGTAAAAGAGCAGTAGTTATAATGAAGGATTTGAGAGATATAATGTGCTAAAACTTCTGCTAATGAAGTATTACAAAATGTATTTAAAAAACCTTTCTGTCTAAATGTCAACATTCATACTTTATTCAAGGATAGATAGCAAGTTATTTTAAAAACAGTAAGGAGCTTCTAAAGAAAAAAAATTATGTAAAAAAGACTGTAAAAATGAGAAGAAAAATATAACAAATGTCTTAAAGTATGAATGCTCTTCTGTTTGACCACAATAAATTACGATCAAGAAGCAATGGTGGAGGACGTACAGCAGTAAGTACTAGCACAACTAGCACAAGCCTAGTTTCCAAACTGGGATTGCGTACAAGACTAGTTTTTCTTAACGCTCAGTGTAACTATGGCCCAATGGGAACTGAGAAGAAAGAAGCAACAAAAGAAAAAATCAAAACAAAAAACCCTCGTGAACATGCTGAAGAGTGTCACCTATGAGCAGGAAACAAATAAGAACCTGTAACCAGACACAAACAGGCATTACCTAAAAGTTTAAAGTTTCACAACTAAAACTGCTCAGGTGCCACCCTTTCTCCTCTAGTGCTGAATGAGACCTAACAAATATTAAGACGCTTTAAACTGGGATGAAAAATCATCACACAAGCAAGAGCACAGCTGTAGGGAAGATCAGATTACAGAAAGACAGTTTTAACTAATAAAACCAGCAACACCAGGAAAACATTCTGCACCCTCCCTTTCGGAAAAGGCTTTTTAATAGTCTAAAACAATATTTTTCAATTTTTTTCCCCTTACTATTTCACTTCAAGTATGTTAATTTTGATGGTTTCTTTTCTCTTACAAAGGTTTAGGATTTTACGAGTGGACGCTGAAAGGAAATTGCAAAGCAAGAAACATAACCTTTTGAGTGCCTTTAAAGATAGCTTCTTACCTTTCAGTCACACGCACATATCACATACTGTTTCTGAAATCCACTCATCCATATGTCAGACTTCCCACACTCCCCCTTCAAGCATTGAAAGGACAGGCAATGCTAAAGACGTATAGTACAACCATTCTGCATTCATGGTTTTAAAAAACACTCAGCGTCATGACCTACATTACTATTGTCTTGCTGTTGCAGCTTAATGCATGTAACTTAAACACACTCACCTTGCATGATAGCGCGAGTGCCAGGAAGCGCAGGCGCTGGATGAGGAAAGGTGTGACGTGGCTGTCTCAGGTTGACTTTCTGTAAATTTGGTTGCATGCCAGGAGTGAGGTCTGCAGGCTAGGTCATTTCTTCTGAAAACGAGAGCATTAGAATATAGTTTAATGCAAACAGTTCAGTAAGGTGACATGAAGCAAAAAAAAAAAAAATCTACCAGGGCATTAGTCACATGCTATACAGATAGGACAGAGGTATAATGACCTCAAATAACAGCACATGAAACAACTTTCTCTGTGCATGTCAGTTTTGAAAAGACAGCAGCATTCCTTCAAAATGTTTGAGATGCAGTGAAACATCAATACTCTCCAAGGTCTGTGCTTGGGTGGTTTTTAAAAAATTTTATTTATTTTGGGGGTGGAGTGGTTTTTATGAGGGGCAGAGATAGGCAAGCAAAATTTAAAGTACTTGACAGATATCCAGAGCTCTAACAGTTAAAGCTGATACTGAGACTTATGACTCTTTCACAACTTGTCAACAGTACAGTAGGGCTTTGGCAAGGTTTTACTGTACATACGTGCTTATGGGAGGAGGTTGGAAGAGTTAGTGACAAGAAGGAATAAAGCCATGTACATTGTTTCATACAAGTTAGTAAGAGTAATGTAACTAATAATTTTAACTCTGCCCAAGTTCCGCTTCAGCTCTTGAAATGTGTGGCCTCACAGGTACGCAGGTTTTTTGTGTGTTTTGTGGTTTTTTTTTTAAAAAGAATGCACCTCAAAAATTGTTGAGCAATTCCAAATCCCCAAATGCCTACTTGGATCTCACCTCCAAATGTACATGCTCAAGAGATCCCTTCCAAGAAGTACAACAATAAGTTGTTAGAGCTCTGTACCTTGCAAACCTTTCTGCAAAAGTGTTCTACGCTCCTTTGCTCCTTGCTTCTTTTCAGGAATTAGTAACAACAGCTTGCACTTCCTTCCAAGGACTTGCTGTCTATAACATCTCTCAGCACTCACAAAATAAGTGCATTCTTTTCCCTCAATGTTAAATAAGCCTTCTGGGTGGAATTCAGCTACTTCTGTTTAAGTGAGCAGATGGTGAGCATGGGACACTGGTCTAGACCCTCTCAGTCACCCAGGAACAAAGCAGGAACTTCAAGGTAATTCATCGTGCCCTTCTCTTTGGCTCGTCTTAGGGGAAATGTAATTTAAAATTCAGATTAGGTATAAGGTGAGACAAATTCCATCCTTCCAAGCCACAGGCTGAAACAAAGGCTTACAGGACCTTAAGTCCTGAGGTTTTTGTTTTTTTTTAATGCACTTAGGTATCTCACTTAAGTATTTATTAAGTTTGTTACTGCAAGGTTAAGTAATTTGTCTAAGTTACAAAGTAATTTGCTAAGCTGAGAAAGTGCTCCCTATTTGCAACTTGAACTCCAAAGGCAGTTCAACATTTTTTCACTCATTCCCCTTTTTTTAATGAATTCAGGTTATCAGAGAGCCACTGTATTTAGCAAACAAAATGAAAGCTCATTATAAACCCAGTGTCTTCAAAACAGGTCAAATTTGAGGGCATGGCTTTTTGCAGTACACTCAGGAAGATCTGATTAATTCAATTATTAATTGCCTTTCCAAATTCTGCATGCAGGACTACAAAAGGAGAATAATAATTCTACAGGGAAGCTGTAATTTCAATAAGAAGCACAGCACCATTACTGTCACTTAAAAAAAAAAAGTAATTGTTTCCATAAACAAAAGCCTATTCTTTCCAGCATAACAAATGAGAAAACAGTTAAGCAGAGCATCACTATGATGTTCTTCCTCATAGAATATGAAATTCAGAGAGTCAATGGAGGAGTCCAAATACTCTCAGTGCAAACAAGCGCAAAAGATTCTGCTCAGCCATGCGATGCTGGGCTCCAGACAGTCATTCTGTTCTCCAAGGGCCCCAAGACAGTGTTCAGGTATGGAAAAAAAATCATCCCACCATCCTGCCACACAGAACATCAAAGGGGTTTGTTTTTTTTTTTCCCCCACAGCTCACCTCTAACGGTATTGATACCAGCCTAGCAAACTACAAATACCTATTTAGGCAAATTCAATAGACATACTAGGCATCAATTCAACAAAAAAGTCTATCTATTATGAGACAACTACTTTTCTATGATATACCACTAAGGAAACACAAGGCTAGAAAACTAGTACAATACAAACAATGTTTGAGGTGTGAGGAAACAAAGGTCGGGAAAGAGGACTTCTGCGATGGTTTTCTATGGGTTTGGCAACTGGTAGAGGGATTCAATCACTAGGAAGGAACAAAAGGGATGCACTTGTAAAGTTAGTACTGTACCTCATGGAGCTTCTCAAGATCTTCATAAGATAGTTTCTCGCCACATGAACATCATTTTCAGATGGCATTTTGTGTGCTACAATATCCACCACCACTTTCATCTTCCTGAGCAGCCAAGCAAGGGGAGGAACAGACTGGACTGAGTTGCAATGTGGGGCAAGTCAAAAGGGCAAGTTGTTTCAATATTTGTATTTGTGGACACATACATTTTTGAGGGGTTCTTTTTTTTTTTTCTTTTCAGACATAATAGCCTGAAGAGTCTAAAAGTACTGGTGGGACACCTGGAGGGTGGAACCACTTAGACACCTGCTTTCATTGAAGTCCACCACATGACTAAATATTAATTTACTGTGCATAGTCAACAATGCTTTCTGCTAGATTCTCACCATTTAATTACATTTACTATTTCCTGCACTTCAAGAAACAATTTTTTCTAACAATAAATGGAGCACAGCTTAACTACTGATTCTAAAACTCAGCACAAATGGGTAGAAGGACTGGAAAGAAAAGATTAAAAGACTCAAAAGAGGGATACTTTGCAGGCAACTAAAGATGTTGGAAGCTTAGCATTTATATTCTAATGTAATACCTCTGTATTAATTCTAAGTGACAGAATGAGATCATCTGAACCTACAACCCAGAAAACCTCTAGCATTAATGGAAGCATTAATAAAAGCATTTCACTGACAGTGTCTTTCTACCACTGCTTTTACAAAAGCTGCTGGAAGGAAAATGATCATAAGCTTTGAAGATACAATACAAAAAATTTCTATTGACTATAAGCAAACTGCTAGATGACGTGTGTGCAAATACTTCAGCAATAAAACCACCTTTCCAATCCAGTTTTTCAGAATAAATCTGTCCTTTTGTAGTTACTGCTTGGACATCATTAAGACAGACATCCTGAATTTCACAGGGTATAGAGATTAGAGATACTGTACTGGCTTATATTGCTGCAGCAAGATTGAGGAGGTTGACTGGGGCGGGAGGGTAGGAGGGAGCCAGCGAAGAGAGAAAACGTGCTTCCTTGACCAAGAGAGAAAAATAATTAAACTGGACAAGCAGATTTATGTGTAAAGAACAACAGTAGTCAGAAAAATATCTTAAAAATAAAAATTAAACAGGAAACTGAATAAAGTAACTGAACTACCTCAGCATACAACAAAAATATCAATGAATATGAACCATTTCCTCTGTTTTCAGACACATTGTGAATTCCTGTAGGTATTGTTCAGATAAAAGGCCAGCAGACAGAGGCATGTATTTCTTCCCCACTCCCCTAAGAGAATTTCTGCTTTATTCCCATCTACTAAAGAGGACCCATGTTGTAACCCTACCATACAGGCTTTTACATTTGGAGTCCAAAGCAAAAAGTGAACAGGCAGTTCCAGAGACCTGCATGCAAGAGTAAAGTAATTGTTAGGGTTTATTTGCCTGTTAATGTTCTGTTCCAGCCCTCTGCCTAAAGAGCAAAGACAAAAGACGGCTGGCTCACTTGTAAAGGTAAGGCTGCAAATCTTTCACTGCAATAGGCAGCAGCTACACATGACAGAGCCTGTGCAGTATTTCTGAAATAGAAAACAGGCTGTCATTCATCTCGTTGCTGGTCTCTTCAGCTCAAAGGAGTGTTTGTAATACCAGCAGCGCTGATGTACCCACACAAAGACACTCTGACCCATCTCAAGAACAAGGTAATGAACAGTTCCTACAGGGATTTTTCAGGTAGAACTTTGGAAATGTGAAAATGAATGAAAAGTCATACTGATGAGACATTTTAACAAGGACTGCCCAGCCACTTCCTTTTTAAAGGCTATGTTCTGTTACTTTCATGTCCTTATGTTGCCCCAAATTTACTCATCTGTGAGACTACTTCTCACATTAAATATAAATAATTCTTCAAAATGGCAGAGCTCTTCTGGGGGTGGGGAGAAACTCCTTCCCAG